CCCATCATTCTTATTTCATCTCCAACTATTACACGAAGCTCTTTAAGTTGACTTCTCACTTTGATGTTAATATTGAATCTACTGTTATTCTCATTTGGGTGTCATTTCCCTACCTCTGTCCTCATCTCTTTTTTCCCTGAATTCTTCATTTAGGGTCTTTGTTTGGTAGACCCTTGCGCACTGATAATGTTACTATTAATGGTTCTAGACCTTCGGTGGTTCAGATACTTGTTGAGTTAGATATTACTAAACAGTATCATAATCAAGTGTGGCTTGGCTCTGATTCTGTGGGGTACCTTCAGTCTGTGGATATGGAAGTGTTTCCTCCGTATTTTTTTTTTTTTACATTGTAAATCTTTGGGTCATTTGAGAGATGTTTGCGCGCCTGATTTTATTTCCTAATTTGGGTGGTTGCCCTCCTATTGGGAGGGAGTTTCTGTTGGTGCTCATTCTTCTCATGATGTTGGTGTTAATCTGTCATTGATTGGGGGGGATATTGTGGTGATAGTGTTCCTCTTGATTCCATTGATGTCAATGGGTGTGATCACATTGGTATTAATGTCGGGAAGCAAGAAAATTTGGCTACATTGGTTGAGGGTGATGATGTTTTCCTTAATACAAATAATTTGGTTTCTTATAATGTGGCTCTCCTTGAGAATGTTGATGCTAATTTGATTATTGAGGGTGTGGTGGAGGATTGTATTGTTGCTTTTGCTCATAGCGAGTAGGGTATCGTTGGTGGAGTAGAGAAGGTGCTTTGTCAAGATCTTGAATTGGTGGCTAAGGTTACGTTTGGTGATTTAGAAAGCTCAGCTGGCCACTTGAATCAGAATGCACCAATTTTTCTTCCCCTTATTGTGGGGAGTGTTGGTGGTGAAGCTCTGGTTGATGTTCCTGTTGATCTTGTTTCGCCTAATGTTCACCTTTCTCAAGTTATGGTGAGGTCGGGGAAGGCATGTTTGGGTGGTGGCACAATTGTTAAGGCACAAATCGATTGGTTTGAGTATTCTTCATCTTCTTCTTTTGAAGGTGATAAAGAGAAAGTGTTTGAAAAGATTGGTGGTTAGCATGATACTTTCGTTCGGGTGGGTAATCGAAGGAAGAGGAAATCTAAGAAATAATGTTTTCTGTTTGG